GTTTGTTTTAATTTTTTTAATACAAAAGTTAAAAAGTCAAAAAATTACTAAAAAATCAAAAAGGTCTATACTATTTGAGAGAAGCTTGTGGGGGAAGTCTAGAGGGTAAAATTATTATTTTGCTATTTGAATTTAATTATCCAAAAATCAAAAAGTCAACAAAGGTAGAATAGTCATTTTGATTTTATAACAATATTTTATTACACATTTTTTTATAAAAAGTCAAAAAGTTATCCCAAATATATATATTTTTTTCTCTACTTTTTTAGCCAAAAAGTGCACTTATATATATATTTGCCGACCACTATATAGTACATCACAAACAATCATTTTCTCACTATCAATCCTCTCATTAATAATCTCTTCACTAACTATCTTCTCGCTAACAATCTCATCTAACCTAATTTGTCAAACAAACACAGCTTTATTTGTTAAGTATACTGCTTAATTGATATTATCGAATTTTTATTTTATTTTTAGGTACTAGTACGAGTACCAAACACGGCAAAGCTGCAAGCATAATTCCCAAGTAATATATTAATTTTATAATAATAAAATAAATTATAAACACATTTTTTAAAATTTGTTTAAAATATAAATTGTTCCTTTAAATATTTTCTTGTCAAAATTTTTATTTTACAGAATTAATTAAAAAATTAAAATTTTTAACTGTTCACTTATATAATAATAAAATTATTTAAATTATTAATTGATATATATATATATATATATATATATAAAATGTCATTAAATTTCAAATCAAACTTAAAAAACCACCTACTTAACCCGACTCAAAACGCACAGTCACGAAGTCGACGCAAAACCGCCATCCTCTGTCTCTCTCTTTATGCACATGCATATATATACATATACGTTATCTATCTATACAATTTATTTATACTATTATATAAAGTAAACACACTTTTGCCTTTCTCAAATTGTCCCTATACAACTATCTCTATATAACCATAGTTACCAGAATCCCGAACTGAATTGTCTAGTTGGGCAAACGATTCGGATCGTGCTAGATTAAATTCATTAGGATTTTAAAGTGACTACAATCTTAGTCATAAAATCGTATAGAATTGTACTATAATCCCGATTCTACTACAATCCTGATCCTACCAAAAAAAAAAATTCTTATTATTTAATTCTTATATATGTATGTATATGTGTATATCTATATAAAAATTTTACTATAAATTCTTTCTCCAAACATTTCTTCTAATTTATATTAACGTAAAAGATGCATTACATCAAATTTATCATTTTTTTAATAATTTTAAAATTATTTAACATACATTATCATTATAGATAATTTTTTATTTTATTTTACACTAAAAGTAAAATCTTATGATTTTATGATCCGATCCGCAAGTCCTTACTAATAATCCTACCAAGCATCCTGATTCTATCAACCTTGTATATAACTACTTTATATTTTGATTTTCACATTTAAATTTTGATAACTTTTCACCTTTCTAAAAAAAAAATTGATAACTTTTCAAATTATTTTCTTCTCCTTCTGCATTCAACTGTTGATTTTCATGACACATCCATCGAGTGTGCACACCATCTAATATATATATATATATATATATATTGTAATCAACATGGGTGGTGCTCTTGTTTCTCTCTCATTATTTATATAATCCTGACCATAAACACCCAACAACAGACGGACCCTCTTATAAATACAATAAGGGTTAATTTTACTTTTTATCCCTCACACCATTTTGGTAACCATTTCTTATGTTTCACACTGGACTACCAATTTGATGTATTTAACCCTAAAATCTAATTTTTTTGTGGTTAAAATTTGATCAAAAACTTCATGGGAATGATTTGTACAATCATCTCTAATTCAACTATATAAAACTGAAATAAAAAATTTTAAGAACTAGCAGATAAAATTAAAAGTTTAGGCGAACAAAGAAAAACTGATAATAGTTTAAAAAATAAAATAAAATAAAATCCTAGTGAGAGACAGAGGGGCACCAGAGTTGCCATTCTCTTCCATCTTCTCCGCTTAGAGTTCAGTGGTAAATCCTCCAGTAGTAAATACTCATGAGTCTCGATACTCCAAAGCCAAGCTTTTATTGGTAATCTGGGGACGCGCGTAAAAACAAAATTTTGTTTGGTTATCGGTTTTTTCATTTTCTTTTTTTTTATTGAAAAATTGATAGTTTTTTTATATTTTTATTTTTAGTGAAATTTTAACAAATACTTTGTGCAATTTTTTTATTTTTTAAATACACTTAATTTAGATACACTCAAAAAGTATAATATTTATATTTTTTTTATATAAAAAATCACCAAATACAAAAATATATGAAGATTCTTCATATTTTATTATATTCAATGAGTTTTTAAAAAAATATATATACAAATTTTATCAAGATTAAGTGGATCAAAAAAGTAACAAAAATTGGTTAAACTATTTTTTAAAAATCATTAAAAGTCAGTTGAAATCTAAGTATGTGTTTTTCAAAACACCTACTAAAGCCTATTTTGGAAATTGATTTTTCTAGTAATTTTTTTGGCATTTGACAAAAAAGATTGGTAAAAAAACTATAGGAAAGAGCTAACATTTTGTTGCATCTTTATGATTTTTTAACTAAAATTTTATGTTCTCAAAATAGTCTTGAACTTTTTGCCATTTAAATACGAAAAAATTGGTGATGAATCCACTTTTCGTTGGGTATATATATATGGGACTTTTCTTAAGTGTGCAACTTACACCTTACACTTACGTCTATCTGTTTGCTGTCCTGTTTTATGTTTATACCTTCCACTTATACCTTTTGTGATGGTTGCATATGGTGTGCAACCTTAAGGGGTTGCACACCATAACAGCACCCATATATATGACATAAGTTTTGTGACTGCTCTGTTTGGTATTAAAGACATGCTTAATGAAATATATTAGGCCAAGTTTGGGAAGTCTCAAAAAAGTTAAAAAGTCAAAAAATTACTCAAAAAGTTAAAAAGTTATCACTATTCACCAAAAGTCAACAATTACGGCTGCACAACTCCTAATACTAATTTTCTCATACACATTAATTTATATAATTTTTTAATACATATTTTTTCATAAAAAGTCAAAAAGTTAACCCAAACATTCATATTTTCAACCTCAACTTTTTAGTCTAAAAAGACAAAAAGTGTACTTATTTAGGACACCCCAAACAACCCCTAGTAAGAAGTAAAAATTATTTTTTTATTTTATTTTATTTTATCCTTGTATTGTTGCACTCTCATACATAGGGACGGAACTAGGAAAAGAGTGTGAGGGGTCATGTTCCTTTTGTTTTTGTAAAAAATACTATTTGCCATAGCACTTTAAATATATATATATATATATATATAGCATTTTATATATAAAATGGCCCCCCAAAATAAATAAAAAAATACATATCTTATTTCTCTTCCATCTTGTATTCTCTTTCTATTTTGCACAAAAAAAACTTCTTCATCTTACTAAAAATTGCATCTATGATTTTTAAATTTTTTCTTATGTACATATTATTTATATATCATATTGTACATACATATATTTTATGTATGTGGTAAAAAAAAATATTTTTCTTCTGGCCTGCCAATAATAAAATCCTAGTTCTATTCCTACTCACATACTATTATCATCACTGACCATTGTCGACCGCCGGACACTAGTGGGCTCATTGTGAGGAAACTTGTCATCATCGGAATTAGGAATGTAAGAAAAATCGAAAAAATTGATCAAACTGGTTGAACCGAACAAGATCAAACCGACTATATTTGGTCAATTTTTTTAAAATGAATTGATCTATGCGGTTTTTAAAATTAATTTTTTTTGGTACTCAGTTCAGTACCGATTTAGGCACCTTGTGTACCGAATTAAACCGAAATTGACCGAAAGTTTCATATATTAAACATAATATATATATAATGAAGTTGGTTGAGTACAAAGTTCAGTTGATTCATTTAATTGTTTATTTTTTCTTCAATATTCTAGGTTTGACAGTAGCAATAAGTTGTTATTTTGCTACTAATATGTGTTTGAGTCAAGTTTTGCTACTACTATGCCTATGTAGTTATGTCAGATGTTTATGTCATTTTCAATTTTTTGTTATAACTCTAATTGATAGACTTGTGATTTAGTCTTTTGGGATGATGGTTTTAAATTTTAGTTTTGCTTAGTGTCAAGACTTTGGTTTTCAGATTATATTTTGTTTTTAATTCTACTTCAATAAAAGTTTAAACACTGGGTCTGTTTGGTAACTATTCCGTTTTCAGTTTTTAGTTTATATTTACAAAAATTAAAAAAACTATCATAAAAACTTGTTTGATAACTTTTTTGATTTATAAATGGTTGTCTCAGTTTATAAATTTGAGGAAAAAAACGTAAACTCAAAAAATGAGTTTACACTTTTAGTTTTCAATAAAAAATTTTCAATTAATTTTTTTTTCAATTAATTTTTTTTTCAATTAAATTTTTTTCCCAATTAAATTTTTTTTCAATTATTTTTTTAATTAATTTTTTTCAATTATAATGTGTGTGATCCCATTGTAATAAATAATAAATATAAATATAAATATTTTAGGTCTGAACAAACATATTTTTTTTTTTTTTGATCGGCAAAAGAGAAATATTATTGATGGAAAAAAATAACAAGATGATCCTTACATCAGTAAAGAAGAGGGTGCAAAAAGCATCACAGTGAAACATTTAGATCCCAACTAGGTTGGCACCAAAACGCACACCAAATCATCTGCTAGCACGCACTCAAGGCTCCAAGTTGGTGAGAAACCAACAAACAGAGCGGAAAAAAACAACAAAACACTCCACAAACAACCACACCACAGAGAGCCTAAGGGACCACCAGAATCACACAACAGCAGCCCATAGACCAGCAGAATCACAAACAGCAGCCCATAGACCAGATCTGGAAATGGAGAAGCAGGACGACCTAGCAGAGAACCAAGTAGACCAGCAGTAAACCACTGGGCCATACCTAATGCAAAAGATCAAAGTTGAGGTAGCTAAACACTTTAAAAATAGATTCTGTGAAGAGTGGAAAGTTCGACCTAAGCTCCAAGGTGTTTTCAAGACCATTGGGCATGATAATGATTCTAATGGGCTGGTTATTCCTTTTTCAGAGGAGGAGATTTGGAGAGCTATTAGAGAGAGTGATGGAAATAAGGCACCAGGACCTGACGGTTTTAATTTGTTTTGCTTTCAAAAGTGTTGGAAAGTTTTTAAAAAGGATATCTTGCAATTCTTCAAGGAATTTTATGATAATGGATGCTTAGCAAAAGGTATTAATAGCTCTTTCATCACATTGTTACCTAAGACTGAGAATCCAGGTGGTGTTTCAGATTATAGACCAATTAGCCTTATTGGATCTCTGTACAAAATTTTGTCTAAGGTTCTAGCTTCTAGACTTAAGAAGGTATTGCCTAAAATAATTTGAGAATCTCAGTCCGCTTTCATTGGGGGGAGGAACATTTTAGATGGGATTTTAGTATCCAATGAAGTAATAGATTGGTGGAAGAGGAAAAAGAAGAAGGGGGTAATTTTGAAACTAGATTTTGAAAAAGTTTACGACACGGTAAATTGGGAGTATCTTTTTAATATGATGTCAAGCTTTGGATTCCAGGATAAGTGGATTAGGTGGATGAAGGTGTGTATACAATCAGTTAGAGTTTCAGTTCTTGTCAATGGTTCCCCGACTAATGAATTCTGTCTAGAAAAAAGACTCAGGCAAGGGGATCCGTTGTCTCCCTTTCTTTTTAATATGGTGGCTGAGGGTTTGAATATATTATTCCAAAGAGCTAAAGCATTGGACTTAATCAAAGGTGCTGTGATTGGCCTAAGGGAGGTTAATGTCACCCATTTGCAATTTGCGGATGATACAATTGTGTTTTGTGAGGCCGAAGAGAACGACATTTTAAGCGTTAAGAGAATCTTGAGGTGTTTTGAAGTGCTCTCTGGATTGAAGATTAATTTTCATAAGAGTACAGTTTGCGGAGTAGGTGTACAGGAGGCAGAGGTAAATGTTTTCGCAGGAAGATTGAATTGTATGATCCAAAAGTTACCTTTCATGTATCTTGGTTTACCACTGGGGGCCAGCCCGAGGAAGAAAAGCACATGGTTGCCGGCAATCAATAAATTCAAGTCTAGGCTGGCATCTTGGAAAAGGAAGTTACTATCATTTGGCGGTAGGTTAACATTGATCAAAGCAGTGCTATCATTTCTACCAGTGTACTACCTCTCTCTGTTTAAATTGCCTACAAATGTATCAACATTTTAGTTTATGTTTTTAAATTTTTTTAAATATTTTGTTCAAACCAAAAGCGTTTATAATTTATGTTTTTCTAAAAATAAACAAAAACCGGTATATAAATTTTTTGTAAACATAAACAAAAAATGTAAACGTTACCAAACGCTACCTTGGTATTTATTAATTCTTTTGTTTGTATTTTTGTGAATGGATGGATTTGATATTGAAGTAATGTACAAATGGCTAATTCAATATTTTTATATAAAGTATTTACTATGTTACAAATTTAAGAAGTAATTCAAATTTTAAAAGTCATAAGCCAAAAACCTCACCTAGCCGAACCGTTTGAATTAGTGCGGTTTGATGCAGTTTAGTGAAAAATCCGGTCTGTATTGGTTCTCAATATAATAGAACCGACATTATCAGTTTGGTGTAAACTTTCACCTAAACAACAACTATCCCGAATTGATTACATCCCTAGCCGGAATATTTATCAAAAAGTGGCTGAAAAATTCGTCAGCATTAGAGGCCGGTGGTAATATGAATAGATAGGTAGACAGGTGAATAGATCGATGGTTGTAATATGGTCTTTCAAAATATTGTTGTCCTTATGGCCCAAAAAAATAGAATTTGAGATAATTATTCCAAAATTTTTAATTTTGAACTTCTAGACAGAGTGCTTTTAAACAGTGGATTTTGGAATTCATTCAAGTATAAAATAGGGCTAAGTAAAATAATAATAGAAAGTGTTCTTGTAGAGTGCTAAAACTAATTCTTAAAAATTTTAAACAATTTTTACTTCAAAAAATGAAGACTAATTATTTGTTGGTTTAGTAGATTGTGATCAATGATGATAAGCTTTTAAAATCGTAATTTCAAACTAAATCTAACCGCGTTAATTGTTTGGTCTCATGTGAGTTCAATATTTATATGATTTAGCTTGGATTCAAATTTCATGAAACCATAAAATTCAAAATAGAGTTTGACAAGAAGATATGAGAAATATTACAAGGGCCTCTAGTTGAGAAGATTGGGTGGATATGGATTGTGTCAACTTGGTTCAATCATTGTTTCACTGGAATATTATAATGAGCATTGTTAAAACCCTAGAAAGAAAAAATAGAACAGTACAACAATGTTTTGCTTCCCTAAGAATATTAGCCTTCCGTAATCTATAATAATCATTTGAACACATAAGCAAAAAATTCGCTAATGTCACGATCCTTAAATATAAATCATGTACAATAACTATTTTTGTGTCAAATTCAATTTTAATTTATATGACAATATCACCATTTGCAACTGCTAGAAGTATATTTCTCAAATGGAGTTGGATCTTTAGACTATCTCCATTATTTTAATTCAATCTAAACAAGTCGCAGTCACGAATCACACAGTTAAAAAACAACTTGCACATGATAAGAAGTCTTACCAAGCATAAAAGTCTCTAACTCATAAGTTGCTGTCCATGCACAAGATGATATTTAACAGATTAAAGGACAAGGATACTACTAACTTCCTTGTATTACTGGGATAAAAGCCTCGTGCATATTTACACAGAAATTCTTCACTGTGGATATGATGCGAACTTCGGCTTCAACAATTAAAGTATCCTTTACAAGGAAGCCCTTAGAAGCATCATGGAGATCAGTTAACGACAAGAATGAAGGTCTACCCCATGAGGTGGAGCCTGAAGTAAAACATTTGGAACCTGCAAGAGAATTGGCAATTGTTATTTAACTACCCAAAAGATCTACATAAATGAAAAGCTCTTCATAATTTGCAAATGAGACAAGCAGTGTCCCATGATATGATTTCTTCGGACTGTATTCATACTTATTTTGCACTTAAAAGCTGTGTTCTTTTTTTGGAATTGTAGAGGGAAAAGAATAACCAAACCAAACCAAACCAAACCAAGCCTTAAGTCCCATCAAATGGGGTCGGTTACATGAATCCTTCTTCTCCACGCGGCCCTATCAAAGGCAAATTTCATTAGTCAAATTAAGTAGATTCATATCTCTATTTAAAACGCTAGTCAACGTTAATCCAGGCCTACCCCGTCCCCTAACACTTTCATCTACCATTACAGTATTGCATCTCTTCACTACTGCCTCTGTTGGTCTCCGTTGAATATGACCAAACCATCTCAAACGATTCTCTCTCAACTTATCTTCTATCGGTGCTACTCCTACCCATTCCCGAATACACTCATTCCTAATCCTGTCTTGTCTAGTCTTACCACACATCCACCTTAGCATCCTCATCTCAGCCACACTCATCTTATCTACATATTGTTTCTTGGTTGCCCAACACTCCGTCCCATACAACATAGCTGGTCTAATAGCCGTTCTATAAAACTTACCTTTTAGTCTAGTGGGTATTCGTTTATCGCACAATACCCCAGACGCACTTCTCCACTTACACCATCCCGCCTTAATCCTATGGGCCACATCTGCATCAATCTCTCCCGCTATTATGATAATCGACCTTAGATAACGAAAATGTTCACTCTTAGGCAATTCTTGGTTCTCAATCTTCACTTCTCCTCTGCTTTCATTGTTACTGTTACTAAATTTACACTCCATGTATTCTGTCTTAGTTCTGCTTCCTTTAGATTCAAGAGCTTTTCTCCAAATCTCTAACTTTGTGTTAACTCCTTCTCTAGTCTCATCCACTAGCACAATATCGTCTGCAAAAAGCATGCACCATGGCACGTCATCCTGAATATTTCGTCCATAACTAAAGCAAAAAGATAAGGACTTAAGGTAGATTCTTGGTGTAACCCTACAGTGATAGGAAATTCATTTGTCTCTCCAACTGCCGATCTAATGGTGGTCATCACTCCTTCATACATGTCCCTAATCACGTCAATGTAACCTTTTGTCACCCCTTTCTTCTCTAACACCGACCATATTATATCCTGGGACACTCTGTCATATGCTTTCTCAAGGTCGATAAACACCATATGAATGTCTCTTTTCTTTTCTTTAGACTTTTCTATTACTCTCCTCAAAAGATAGATCGCTTCCATTGTTGACCTACCAGACATAAACCCAAATTGATTCTCTGACACCTCTGTTATATCTCACCTTCAGTTTCCATATGCTTGCCATGGTATTGGTTCCTTATGCGCATCTTATATTTTGTATATGTTTTCCGTTCAGAAGGAAAGGTTTTCAAATCATGTAACCCTAAAAAGAGGGACAGGCATGTATCCTTTGCAGTTGAATATCCTTTGGGATATAGCCGTAATCTCCTATTTTTGTTAGAGGAAGGCATAAAAAGCAGTAAATTGTCAAATTGTCAATTTGCATATAGTAATTGACAGCAAACTCAAACATTGCATACCGGTTTCGATTTCCAAAAGTGAAGACATCAGATCAATGAACTCCAAAATCTAGAGATGAGAAATTATCAATTTTCCAGGTGTAAGTACTGTTATGTTCTTTCAGTATGTTTATAGACTGTCCTTTGCCAGTATAATTTATAACAAAAATTTCTGCTCCGGAGACAATGCAACTGACCAATCTAACTGTAGATTTTTCTCCATTTGGAAGTGTTATGGTATGAGGCCCAATCCCATGGCAACACTCATGGCAAATTATGTGGGTGAAGAAAGAATTAAAGTCTACATATTTCTGTTGTTCCTTCGTAATACATACATTAGATATGGGCTGAAGAATATGCTTGAACCTGGTAGAGAAAAAAAGACCAAATGAATTCAATTTTAAACAATATATGAGATAACAAAAAATTTCCCATCTCAACTAATAAGAAGTTTCAATAATTGCCATCAAGAGACATTTGTCAGTTTTATATTTGAACATGAGCATAGTTGCTTCAAAGAAAAGCATTGTACTTTGCCTCTGAAACATTTTAAAGCATGACCATGGATGTTCCCCGATCTTTCACTATACGCTCATCATTTGGAAGGTTGAATGCAACAATTTGAGGACCCTTCACATCCTGCCATAAAAATGAAGTTCTCAAGCGTCAGTTTTTCAACCAGATAGTTCTAGTAAACTTTGTACAAAATGGGAAACATCAAGTTCTGAATAAAGTCTCATAAAAAACATAAAGGTAAACTTATATATTTTTTACCTCAAGTATAAAAAGATTATTCAGTTTAGTGTATACTTTTTACCTCAAATCCTGAAACCAACCAACAAAGAATATCTGGGTACATGTGTTTAGAGCATCTCCAACGATGAACCAAAATTTTCATCAAATTTGAGTAAAAAAAAGCCAATTTTCTCAATCTAATATGGCTTGCTCCAACCGTGCATCAAAAGGCAAGGGGTCGTAAGGCTAATTTTTTTTTTTTTTACCTGTTTGAACCTTTTTGACCGGTTTGAACCTACCTATTTGAAAGGGAACCGGCCGGACATCCGGCTGGTTGATCGGTTGCCCCGTCCAACGGTCTAGAACAGTGAAATACTGAAATACTGAACTTGTCCTCAGTTTGATGAAATGTTTGTTCCATTCTCATTTTGATATCAAATTGGTGAAACTATTGGAGCTTGAAAAAGTCACTTTTTCATCAAATTTCAAATCTGATGCATGGTTTGATGCACCGTTGGAGATGGCCTTATGCAATTTTCATATGTTCTTCAAGTCCCAATCAATTGATAGGAAAAGAAATAACACCTAAGGTGTTTTATACAAGGGCATATAGCACCCAACAGTAAGAAAGAAAAAACCAACAGTAAGAAGGAAAAAACTCAACACCGTATGAACTAAACAAAATAAGTAGCACTCAAATGCTCTGAATCTTATATTTTGAAGCATTCAAAGAATTTCCAAGATTTTGACAACTCCCTAGTCCCAATAGTAAATATTTTTTTTTCCACCATAATCTTGTCATCGCCAACTCTTTTAAATGATGCTCTTCCCCCCTCTCTCTTTCGCCAAGCCCACCTCCCATTCCTAATAAGCATAACCAGGAGAGAGAGAGAAAGAGAGAGAAAGAGAGAGAGAGAGAGAGAGAGAGAGAGAGAGAGAGAGAGAGAGAGAGAGCTGAAATGGCTGCAGACCAAAACCACATATGTGAACTTCAACTTGAGTTTGGCATATAAACAAACATGTAATAGGCAATCTAAAATGATTCTCAGAGAAATTAAAATCAACAATGGATCAGTCAATGTAGAGATTATTATATATACATATATATCAGTCGATCAGAGAGAGGAAGAAAAAAAATCATGCAATGCGAGGAGCTGCGGGAGAGGAGTCGCCGATCGAGCTTCCTTGGGTGATGGATCTCAGGCGACGGTGACCAACGACGAGGTGAATCGGTGCTCCAGTTGCCTACGACCGCGAGGGAGGGGAGAGGAGCAGCGGAGAGAGAGAGGCAGAGGGGGAGAGAGAGAGAGAGGTGCTGACTTGGGTTTGGATTGGAAACCAAATATATATATATATATATATTACACCATTAGCGACTTTAGTTGCCAATTAATTTTATAAATCCCCCTAGAATTTGAAATATCTCCTCCCAAATATTTTAGTTTTTTGGCGATTAAAATATTTTTTTGTCGCTAAAAATATGTTTTTGGCGACCAAATTTTTGGTATCAAAAATAAAAAATAATTTTTTATTTTACATTCGGCGACTAAATTATTTTCGTAGCCAAAACTCAATATACGGCGACTGAAATATTTTTTTATCGCTAAAAATATGTTAAGTTAGGTCACCAAAGATAAAAAATAATTTTTTATTTTACATTTGACGACTACATTGTTTTTGTAGCCAAAACTCAATATACGGCACCTAAATTTTATTTTTTGTCGCCAATTCTTTTATTTTTAGCGACTAAATTCTTTTCTAGTTGCCAATAATCAATATACCCTAACTAAAAAAAATTAGTAGCTAAATATTGCACTTTTGGGGACTAAAAAAAATTTTGGTTGCCAATTCGACAACTTTTGACGACTAAATTTTTTTTAGTTGCCAAAGGTGCAATTTGTTGTAGTGTTCAAAAACGCATCTGTCACAGACAAGGTATCCATTATCAGCATCTTTGAAAATATTGAGAAGAAGTAATTGGGCAAAACCCCACTATGTTTTTATCCCGTGAAAGCGTCTTACCTTCCCATTGGCATCTGAGCATTGAAATAGAAAAGAAAAATCAAGTGTGTAAAGTGATTAATGCATGCCTAATATGCATGAGGATGAAAATTTAAAAATGTAATAACCCTCACCACTGCTTACCGATAAACATTGATTACCGTTAAACTGAACTGATTATGACTGATAATTGAACCGATTAAAGTACTGAATTGACTGACTGAAAACTGGAATCGAATTGACTGAGTATGTGTGTGTTAATTTGTATTCTATCTGTTTGATTGATTATTTGATCTGTTCGTGTTTTATGTTTAAACTGCTAATTGAAGGCCTTATCGGCGGCCAAACCGGGAATTGGTTAGTGTTCTATGATCCTTAGAATTAATGTGATTTTATGGTATAATTATCTGAAAAACTGTTAGGTATGATCAAATTAGATTAAATAAGCTAATTAAAGAGTTTTGGACTTAATTACCTTAATGCCACCTAAGTGGCCCACTACTTGGATCATCTTTGATTCTCATTACACTCACGCATACACATTTCATCAGCTCATTTTGAGCACACCATCGACTAGAGAGAGGGAGGTAGGGAGTTAGAGTGAATTCACCTTGAATTCCTTGGAAACTTGAAGAATTGCTTGGTAATTGAAGTGTAGATTGCTAAATTGACCTCCTAGTCTTGCATTGGAGACCTAAGGTAGAGTAATTGCCCTCTTGTTCATCTTGTTCATGCATGATTCATGCTTCATTGTAAAACTAAGTCATGTTTTGGTTCATTGTTGTTGAATTGAAGCTCAATCTTTGCATGCATGTTAGTATTGTTGGATTTTGAGTTGAGTTCATGGCAAAATGTTACATGCATGTTCACAATTATGTTTAAGTCCATGATTTCATCATGTTTTGGAAACAATTGGCTCCTTAGAGCATCAAATTGAAGCTTTGAATTGATTTGAATTCATGCATGTTTGCATGTTCTCCATGTTCATGAAATTGGTTTGAAATTAGGTTTGAATAAAATACCCTTGGGCTTTGATTTCTCAAAATTGAGCTTTGAATCAAGTTATTCCATGTGTTTACAAGTGTTTTTCCAGAAATTAGCCCAAGAGGATTGAAAATTTTGCTTTTGAACTTGGTTTTTGGCTTGGAGGTGCAATCTGGAATTTCCAGATTTCGCACTCCCGCTCGAGCGGGGAAAGTGACGCTCGAGCGTGGAATCCGAGCATCCAGTATCTTTACACTGTTTTACAGTCTGCTCGAGCGGAGGATTGGGCGCTCGAGCAGAGTCATGTGTATCAAGCTCGAGCGAGCGTCCAGCGTCCGTCGAGCGGAGATTTCGCCCATCCAGTACTTTTGCAGTACGCTCGAGCGGGGGATTTGCCGCTCGAGCGGGTACCTTTGTCTGCATGTCCGCTCGAGCGGAGTGACCTACGCTCGAGCGTGACCCCTGTTTTCTGAAAAATCTGAAATTGCTTTTTGAGTACATCTTTGCATCCTCATCCCATCCTAGGCATTCTTAGGCCTAGTTTAAGGCATCTTAATGAGGATATAGATGTAGAACACACCAAGGCAAATTAGGGATTGTTATGATATTTCCCAACTGTGTAGCTTAGTGTGTGTTCAATCTGTTAACTGTGTAGGGTTGGCGACTGGGGAGACACGCTCTAGCATACTGTAGCCCAAACTCTGTGAGTAACAATTGTGTAAAGATATGTTCAACTGAGAATGTTTTCTAAAGTAATTATTGTTAATTGTTGGAATGTATGTCCTATATTCTGAAATGTATTGTGGCATCCTTAGCAACTGTTGTATACTGTTACTGCTACTGTTATAGAGATCTCTGTCGGTTCCCTCGTGGAACCACTACTGTTTACTGACTGATGGCCATCATTACTGTCCGTTCTTTAAGACCTACTATTTACTGCTATGCTAATGGATGTACCACATATGACTGAATAACTGTTCTGACTGAAAAAACTGAAGTATTGTTCAATGAACTGCTTTCATTACTGTAAGGACATTCATTCTTAACCTCTTTACGCATTATGTTATTCACTGGGCTTTAGCTCACTGTTTATATATATATGTAGGTGCTCAGCCACCAGATCGGAGCTAGGAGCGTGGGTTAGACTCCAGTTTTGTCAAGCCAGCCTTTGTGCCTCACTGCGAGGCTCCGAGTTGCCATGCTATGGCTTTGGGGTGTTTTGTTTTTCCCCCGTCTGTCTCCATACTGTTTGGACTACTGTATAGACAGCTCAGCTACTAACTGTACTGTTATCAAGGGATTAGGTCCCTGTACTGTGTGACTGTAAATTTTGTATAGACTATACTGTTTGCATGTATGAATGCATGAAAAATCTTTTTGGCATACAGACTGTCACAGCTCAATGGACATTATTTATTTACCGTATTGGCTTCCGCCAGGCCCTGTACTCTGTTTTACTGTACTACTGTTCTGCAGGCCTTCGGTAATCTCGGATTACTGGCCGGTTACGGTGCTAAACCCATAGGGCCGGGTTTGGGTCGTGACAAAAAACCTAAACAATCATAAAGGAAATTGATTGGTTACTAACAAAACTACCTAGCTTGGATGGTCATGTACTTGTCTTGAATTTGATCATATACAAACAATTTGTTTCTGCGATTACCAAATACAAAGAGATGAGTCCTTCCCCTTTTCTTTCTTCATCACCATTTCGGTAGAGAGATAATTCCCTTCAAGTTCAACAGAAAAGAACTATAAGAATCCGATTATGGGTAAGTATCTCAACAGGAAAGGAGGAAAAATGTCAACCATTTGTAGCCACTGGCTTAAAAAATGTCTGATTCATAATTTTGAACTTTAGCATCTAAATATGAATTGCCTTTTATAATTTTGAAAATTACAAATATTTTATTATCAAAATTTTTTATTTAATAATTTTGAATGATGTCAAAAATATATTTCAATTAATAATTTTACTATTGTATCAATGAGTGGTTAGATTTTTTTTTTTTTTTTTTTTGAATTCTGTTAAATAAAAAATTATGACAATGAAAAATTTGTAATTTTTAAAAAACCACTTAAGATAATTTTTATTTTAAGTATACCTCAAGAAATGTATTGTAATTTACCCATAATAATAAAAATAAGGTCATTTTAACTTATTTAGGCTTACAAACAAAATTAAAATGTCCGCATACAAATTTAGGTGTCGTTTGGGAAGGGCTCATTTGGGCTCTTTCGGCTTTTTGAGCCACAAAAGACAGAATAGGCTATTTGAGCCACAACAGACAAAACATCACATCCAACCCATAATCATTACACTCTTCTCTCACAAAAAAAAAGCCAAAAAGCTAGAAAGTTCTTCCCAAACCAAGCTTTTGAGCCCAGGCTCAAATAGTCAAAAAAATCAAAAAGCCAACCCACTTTCCAAACGGAGGCTTAATTAGTAATTTTAATTTAATAATATAAAAATAATAATATTTAATTGATACTTTGTTACAACTGAAAAACATTCTTTAAATCAATTGAATTCAATTTGGCGTGATCTTAGAGTTTGGCCCAAATATGTAAACTGTGGATGAGATTGAATTAGTATATGGAATGCATACGCTAGTCTAAACCATACAATGATATAATGTGGGTAAATTTCTAGATTAATATTTTGATTTGTAGTACTACTGTTAAGTAAATTATAGAGAAAATTTGTGAAACATTCATCTCCAACTTTAGGTAGTAGGAGAGGTTTAATATGTTTTTTGTTTTTATTTTATTAGCTAAGGCCCCTTGATGAAATTTCTTTGTGATCATATCAGATAATTTTTTTTTTTTTTGTGAAAATTGATATTTCTCTATGTTGGGGCGAAATTTCTCTATATCAAATTTTTTCTGTGAAAATGCTGAGAGATTCCAACTACTATGAAAATATTGTATATTTTTTATCTTATAAAATCTTAATATCAAGATCTTAAAAAATAAAATCCCTTAATAAGAAGACAACACAAACCCATAACGTTTTACCAATGACTTGAGAGAAAATAAAAGTGTGGGGGAGATTTATTTTACAAATAGGATCAAACATCTAGTTTCTTAGAATTTCAACTATAACAATGGATATAACCAGAACAGCTTCAGCTGACTAAAACAATAACAAAAGCTAGCTGATTAAATTGTTGAAACTTAATGCACACATATCATTGGATCATCTAGAAACTAACTACTGATCAGAGTTCAACAATTAATATATATATATATATAATCAAGGGTCAAGAACTATTGAGCAAAGTTTTTTACTTCGGAGACAACAATAACTTTGCACTCGACAATTAAAGTGTCATTGACGAGGAATCCCTTGGAGGAATCACGGAGATCAGTTAGCGAAAATAATGTACTGTCACCATAACCGAAATGTGAAGTAGCACTGAACCAGCTGCCACCTGAATCACAATAGTTGCGCAACTATTAACTATTTGATTGGCCAAAACATGTATCCAAGTCGATAATTAAACGAACAAATCCAATGGATGTCAATAATTAGATAAAGAGACATCTGCTGAAAAAATGTGTGCAATTTCACCTGTAAATTTCTTATGCTTGCCATTGTGTTGGTTCCTTATGCACAAGCTGTAATGTGCATATAATTTTCGTTCTGGAGGAAACTCTTCACCATTATATAACCGTAAATAAAGAGAGAGGTACTTGTCCTTTTCTTCTGACGATCCTTTGGGATAGAGACATAATATCCTGGAGTCATTACAAGAATCCATGAAAAGCGGTTAACTGCTCTATTTTGCCAATCAAACAGCTTAGTAATAGAGAGAAGATAAAAATTCAAAGCATGTATACCACTTGCAACTTTCAGCAGTGAAGACATCAGAGGTAATAAATTTATCAACCAGAGATGAAAATTTTTCAATCTTCCAAGTGTGAATAATGTCAAGTTCCTTAAAACTCAGAAACTCAGCTCCGCCACTATAATTCAAAACAAAAACTTCTGCTCCAAACATGCATTTGTCAAGAACGAGGTATCCATTAGAAGGATCACTGAAGGTACTAAGTGAAAGCAACTGAGGAAAACCCCACTCCGTTGTCATCCCATGAAAGCGATTTACCTTCCCATTGGTATCTGATTATTTAGAAGAATTTAAAACATTTGGTTTGCAGGATGAAAATTTGGAAGGATAAAAAAATATCAGAAAAGAAATTGATAAGTTAATAAGCAATACCTTGGATGGTTAAGTACTTGTCTTGAATTTGATTATAGACAAACAATTTAAAGTTCACATTGACTTCCCAACCAAGAGGTAATTTACTTGTCTCTGCAATTACCAAGTACAGAGAGATGTAACCTTTCCCATTTCTTTTTTCATCACCATTTGGGTAGAGAGATAATCTCCTTCAAATTCAATTCAACACAATATACAACACTAAGAATCAGCTTACGCATAAGTTCAACAAAAATGTAGAAGGAAATTTCAGCAACAGAAAGAGAGTAAGAACACTTACCATTTGTAGCCACTGGCTTCAAAAATGTCAGATTCATAACTCTGCACTTCAGTATCTAACAGTGCTTTTGAGAGTTGTGAGAATGGCTCAATCTTGAAAATGTAGTGAGATGGTGGTATGTCCCTTAATGATCTTGTCACTTCTGTGGAATGTTAGAAGAGAGAAAATGTGAAATTAAGTACTAATTAGAACACCCAACTCAGAGATATACCAGAGCTGCCAATCTCTTCCATGTTCTCTGCCTCTTCACCGAATTTGGACAAAGACTTTTAGAAGGCTAAAAGCAACGAAGACAAGCTTTTATATACAGAGGACTGTCTCATTGCAGAATGGGAGTGACTGACTGGTAAGCTTGGGAAGCTCGTAAATGCAATGCAATTAAAGGTTGTTTTGGAAAGCTAATTTATAATTTTCCAAAACGTTTGGTGTGTTTCTTGATGAGTGAATGGCTTTTGGAATTCATTCCCTTAAACCATAAAAAATAAATAAATAAATAAATAAAATAAAATAAAAAAATCAAAGTTTAGTTTAGAAAAGGGTTTGAAAATATACTGTATTGAAATTGTATGAATTTGATTATGGTTTTGTTCAAGTAAAATCTGTCAAAATAAAAATCTTACTCCTTCAACAAATTTTTAACACTTGATTGATGGATGAATTTGGTTTGGTTTAGGAATATAATATAATTAAGTTTTTAGAAAATAATTAATTTAATTACTTGCTCTCTAATAACTTCAGCATTTAGCTTTGGTACCTGAAGCTGTCAATAAATTAAGTTCTCTCACCATGGCCTACCTAATGATTATTTCATAATGTTATGATTATTACATTTTCTTATCATATTTTTGTTTACAATAGTTGCTAGATTGAATTTTCCTTTCGTAGTTAAAACGTTGTATAATCAGTGTATTTGTGTTCTTTGAAAAATAATATAATATCCTTCCTTATATTATTATTCTTCAATCCTTTGTCTCATTTTTCATTTCAAAAAAGTCCTTGAATCTACGAGGCATTAGAAACACACAGTTGTCTGATTATTGATTGATTGGTAAAAAATAACAAGGCAAAGTCCATGGAGACCCAACCCAAATACATGGGTTTTCTCCCTTTTTTTTTATCCATTGGATAGGGTAGGTGATATTCTTTAAATATCCACAGGGGATGGGTTGGGGATGGGTACGTCTCTGTATTTGGACCGAGCTGGGGTTTAGATGCATGGGGATCAGGCCTCTGTGGTTCATCACCCTCAACACTTGTACCGGCATGTGGATTTCCCATAACCCCTTGTATCATTCCAACCATATCTTCCCCAATGTCTAAATTAGCCAATGTTTCATCCGCTCGATTACCATATAGAGATACGTAAGATTCCCCATGATTAATCCAATGTTTGTACTTTTTTAAAAAAACCATTCAAAATCAAATGCTTTCGTACACCCTTTCGTACAAGATGGTATCGATTCTCACATTTCCTATACGGATAACTAATCATCGAACCTTCAACCCTATTGGCGTAGGCAAACACAATGAATTGATCAATCCCATTAATGTATTCTCTAGATATCCTATTTGGCAAATCAATCCAACTCTTATCCATCATCAGTACTTCTCTCAAATGTACACTTCACTTCTTTGTAATCTTCTCAACAATAAATATAAATATATTTAAATGCCAGTCATTTTCCACATGCATATGCGTTTCCCACCATTAATTTGCTTCAGGCAAACTTACTAGGAGATATACATCTCACATGCAAAACAAATATGCCCTAGAAAAAAATATAATTACAACAAATGTAAGAGTCATAATGAGATGTAAGGGTAAAAATATAATTACAAGACATAATATCACATATTAATTATCGTAAGAGAAGAGGGGATTGGTGGGCTTCAAATCCCGATACTTGGTTCAAAAAAATCCAAGCATCATTTTAGTAAGATGAAGGATCTTAACTTCTCCCCCTTTGATCTTCACCAAACATAAAAAGAGTATATATATAGGGAGAGGGAAGGGGATAAAAGATTATATTCCTCCTACTAGTTCTTCAACAGAAGTGAATACTCAACTTGCCTTTGGAACAACAGTGAGACAGGGAACTTTTCCTCCACCCCCAAAACATAAAAAAATAGAAAACCCCCGAGTACCCCCTGCCAAGGGAAGCAAGAAACTTGAGTAAAATTTTTCCTTAAGGCATGTAGCATTAGGGTTTCAAACTAAAATGTAAGTCAAACATTCACTCCCTAAACTCAAGCAACTTGAGAAACCAGGCAAGTCGAGAGGTCTTGAGGCAAGGCGCGTAGCCGAGGCCTCCGGGAACTCCAAACGAACACAAACATGGATGATCACCGAGTGTTCAAACGGTGACGTCCAAGTCTTAAGGACGGTCAAAAATGGGGTGTCTACAACTGTGCTTGGTGGCAAATCCGCAATCTTTAAGCCCACTTGATGTGGCAAATTTAAACCATTTTCGCAAACAAACATGAGTTCAATTGTTCCAAATTGAGCAAACTAGTTTATACTTGATTGTGCGCATCACATAGTAAAGCTAGTTTAATAACCGGAACAAGAACACATAATGTGTATAAAAAAATTATATCATGATTAGTAGAGGCTGGTCTTTGATCGGACGAGCAGGGATGCTCAATTCGGAACCTTCCCCTCTTGTACCCAAGTTCTCGAGCCTAGGCAACTTTGGTGATGACGAACACGTGGCCTTTGGCATGAGTCAGGGTTTCCTAAATTTTCCCAAAATAAAATATTTAGGTGGCGACTCTGTATCTGGCAAAGCAGTCCATGTTTGGCACTTCTTTCAAAAATCTGTTTTCTCAAAACGATTTGCCGGATTTGGACTCTTTGGTTCAGACTTAGAACCGTGACTACGAAAAGTCGAGTCCGAGCTGTAGCACGAGGTCCCCCGCGGGCGCTGTTACACTTTGGTACCCGAAGTTGTCAAAAAATTAAGTTCTCTCACCATGGTCTATCCAATGATTATTTCTTATCGTATTTTTGTTTACAATAGTTGCTAGATTGAATTTTCCTTTCATAGTTAAAACATTGTATAATCAATGTATTTGTATTCTTCTTTGAAAAATAATATAATATCCTTCCTTATATTATTATTCTTCAATCCTTTGTCTCATTTTTCATTCATTGTTCATTCCAAAAAAGTCCTTGAATATTCAAGGCATTAGAAACACACACAATCGTCTAATTATTGATTGATTGGTAAAAAATAACAAGGCAAAGTCCCTATCAATCTAGGCTTGGCGTTATTTTTGCTAACAGTGGCTAATAATTTAGAAAAATAAAACTTTGTATGTGAAATGTGACTCAGCTTACTAATAAGATGAGTGCTGTATCAGATTGTAAATTTTGTCTGGTTTGTATAGCACTACTCATTTTGGATGATTTTTTTTCATAATTATTATTATATAAATTTTGGTAATAAAAAAAGTAGTACAAACCAAACTAGCTTCCTCCATGGTGATGATGTGTGAGTAGTGGGGAAGGTTCAGTGTTCGATTCTTTCTAGCAGCACAATGTTCGTATATATGTGGTAAAATCTTCAAAAATACAAAATAACATTGCAGGGTGCTCGCGGATCGGTTTTGTGCGGTTTTTGGTTTGGTTTTGACCCGCTTGCATTTATGCGGTTTGGGAAACTGTCAATTTGCAACCGCCGCAGTGCGGTTTGCGGTTTGTGCACATAAAATTTGCAGATGTGCGGGCGATTGCGAACGATTTGCGGTTTACACTTTTTTCTTTAAAAATTAATTTTTGAGTTTCTTTTTTCCTATCGAATTAAGGCATCAGATTCATTTTATATATTTGTGATGAGTTTACAAATAAAAATTGAATATCAATGCATTAAATGAAAGTACCCAAAATAAAAAAACTCTACACTAGTATTTTTACCATGAAAAAAATGCATATCAATGCATTAAAGGTCGTACTCAATTAGAATTGCCAGTTCAGTAATCAATAATCAAACTAGAAGTTCCATCGACCACTAGAAGGAAAATTTTATTAGGAAAAAGTGGATGAGTCACCAATGAAAATCATATAAGAAACCAAGTTTATGACTTGATAATTCTACCGCATTAAGAAAGTTGAGAAATACTTTAAAATAAGGATCCTAGCGTCATAGAGAACATAATGGTGCTCCGGTTAAAGTTACAAAGTTGGTATATAAAAAATAAAAATAATAATAATTAAAGTGCGGGCGATTTTTGCAGGTTGCGGGTTTAACCCGTAACCCGCCCGCAACTGGGAAATTTGTCATATTTCAAACCGCATCTGCCCGCATTATATAACAACCCCGACCCATGACTAACATTAATCCATGATTAATTATGCCTAACAGTAATTAACGAGGAATTCTGAATTAATTTGCATGCGCGTGTTTCATTAATTTGCATGCCTAGAATCAGGAAGTCCCATCAAATGCTAAGCCTTAGCAGCCTGTAGCAGTTTCTTCCATGATGCAGTACAATAAAAATCAAGAAAATTTCCCATTGCATTCAACCAACTCCCACAGTGGGTTAAAACGAAGTGGATACTGAGATGAGAAAATGATTTTCAAAACAGGCATACAAAATTCTAAATTTACTAACTTAGCTGAAAATAAACATCACAATCAGTTCAAATAGACCATGCTAAGTAGCCCCTCAATGTCTCTCACCACAATTCTTGCTTTCCAATCAAAACAACTACACCAGCAACCTATAACAATTTAAAACCACTTATTTTCTCCATTTAACTAAAGCATCACTATAAGCCTCATACAAATGAGCATCATCAGGCTTTCAGTTTATACGCGTCGTCTCTTTCGGAGTCGGCATCCGTTGTGGGGTTTCCGAGTTGTGTCCTCAATGTACACTATGGGATTTTGATCACCTCGAGAAAAGGTAAAGCCCTCTCTGAAGCTCACGATTGCTTGCTTCTTTTTCTTGAAATAAGTGAATCCGTTCACTTTCATTACGACAGACTTCAGTCCCAAATTCCTTGCTAGCCGACCAACATGTTCTGCAGTTGCTTCAGCAGCATATCGAGAAAGTTTAGGCCCTCCTTTCATTTCTGACAAACATCCCGAGGAATCCCCAATTTTTTTGTTCCCCTTGGAATCTGTCACAGTGACAAAGGTATTGTTGCGAAGCAGCTTTATATGAACAATATCTGCATTGTTCTCAACAACATACCGAGAAAGTTGAGAACTGCCCATAACGCCCTTTCCTTCTTCCTCTATTATTCCCCTCACAAAATTCATGGATCTAGAGTTCCTTGCTGTCTCAAACTCCTTATGACTTGAAGAATGTATGAAATGCCTAAAAATTGCTCCCAAGATTTGAGGTACAGCATTGTGATTAGCTGCAGCTGAAACATCGCTATGGAGATAAGACCTGCATTTCAAATCCCCCAAACCTGCAAAAGCCAAAAAAATTTCATCACTACCGAAGCGAACACAATTTCTCCAAGGAAAATCCAAACAATTAGCATTTGCCTTATTCCCACACCAACTTCTCACATGGGTTCATGAGAAACCTAATTAGCATCCTCCACCTAAGTGTTTAAGATAAAAAGGCAGTGAGGTCACAGTCACATACCCCAAACAAACTGAAACCATCAATATGCTACGCGTAAGTTCAAAAAGCAGGAATTCATTAAGTGACCGAGACCATTTAGAAATAATCACAACCATCTCCGATATAATTTGAAATGGCAATACAACCATTCTCTTCAATAATGTTATCTCATTTAATGCTACATGATTTTCGAATAACCAGCCAGTGTAGTCACATTCACTTGAATCTTATTCAGACTAGATTCCAAGGCCATGTTATTCATCAAAATTGACGGATTTTTAAATCTTACAACTAATAATGCAAAATATACATATAATTGGAATTATATAATTTCATATCTATTGCAAAACAGACAAAAACAAGAGGAAATTATATATCTCATAATCTCACTAATTCAACTAAATAACCAATCCTACACTAATCTCATTGATTGTTAATCCCCTCACTATTAATCCAGCTAATCAAACACACTCTTCTTCTTGTACATTCCAAAGTCAAGAGTTCATTACAATGGCCAGGATAATCTACAAAAATCACAGCCGTCTCAAATATGATGATAATTTGAAATACAATAGAACCGTCATTTTAATGGAGTCTAATCAAATGCTATAAAAACACACAAAAAACAATAGAAATGTTAATAAAGAGCATCCAAAAACACCCCATGAAACAATATTTTGGGTAATTAGCTATCACTGTATTTCTTCAGTTGCATATCTCCATATTACTTCTGTTTCAAAAGCTAATTTTTTATTTTTATTTTTTTTTTGATAAGACAAATTATCTCAAAATGGGTTCACTCTATAGACCTATTGGCAGCATTTAACACTCTGGTAGGTAACTGAGAAAACAATGGACGAACATAAACTAGATTCTAGACAACAAATTAACCAAACAAAGCACAAAGACAACACATAGCTTTCATGAGATTAAAAAACAGAGTTGAATAAAGACAAAATATTTAACCAAACACAGACTTGCCTGGAACACCATATATTTGTGGGATTCGAAAGAGGGACCGATGAGTGAGGGTTTTGAAAGGGGTTTCAGATCTGGGGCTGAAGACCCGAATAGCTCGATCAAACAACCCTGGGCGGCCCGAGAATCGCAGCATGGATCGGTGACTGATCATGGTTCAATGGTTTTCAGATTCAGACTACGCTGCTTTATCACAGAGAGAGAGAGAGAGAGACGAGGGTACTTTTGGGGCTGACGATGGTGGTGATGATGTGTGAGTAGTGGGGAAGGTTCAGTGTTCGATTCTTTCTAGCAGCACAATGTTCGTATATATGTGGTAAAATCTTCAAAAATACAAAATAACATTGCAGGGTGTTCGCGAATCGGTTTTGTGAGGTTTGTGGTTTGGTTTTGACCCGCTTGCATTTATACGGTTTGGGAAACTGTCAATTTGCTACCGCCCGCAGTGCGGTTTGCGGTTTGTGCGCATAGAATTTGCAGATGTGCGGGCGATTGCGAATGATTTGCGGTTTACACTTTTTTCTTTAAAAATTAATTTTTGAGTTTCTTTTTTCCCATCGAATTTAGGCATCAGATTCATTTTATATATTTGTGATGAGTTTACAAATAAAAATTGAATATCAATGCATTAAATGAAAGTACCCAAAATAAAAAAACTCTACACTAGTATTTTTACCATGAAGAAAATGCATATCAATGCATTAAAGGTCGTTCTCAATTAGAATTACCTGTTCAGTAATCAATAATCAAACTAGAAGTTCCATCGACCACTAGATGGAAAATTTTATTAGGAAAAAGTGGATGAGTCACCAATGAAAATCATATAAGAAACCAAGTTTATGACTTGATAATTCTACCGCATTAAGAAAGTTGAGAAATACTTTAAAATAAGGATCCTAGCGTCATAGAGAACATAATGGTGCTCCGGTTAAAGTTACAAAGTTGGTATATAAAAAATAAAAATAATAATAATTAAAGTGCGGGCGATTTTTGCAGGTTGCGGGTTTAACTCGTAACCCGCCCGCAACTGGCAAATTTGTCATATTTCAAACCGTATCTGCCCGCATTATATAACAACCCCGACCCATGATTAACATTAATCCATGATTAATTATGCCTAACAGTAATTAACGAGGAATTCTGAATTAATTTGCATGCGCGTGTTGCATTAATTTGCATGCCTAGAATCAGGAAGTCCCATCAAATGCTAAGCCTCAGTAGCCTGTACCAGTTTCTTCCATGATGCAGTACAATAAAAATCAAGAAAATTTCCCATTGCATTCAACCAACTCCCACAGTGGGTTAAAACGAAGTGGATACTGAGATGAGAAAATGATTTTCAAAACAGGCATACAAAATTCTAAATTTACTAACTTAGCTGAAAATAAACATCACAATGAGTTCAAATAGACCATGCTAAGTAGCCCCCCAGTGTCTCTCACCACAATTCTTGCTTTCCAATCAAAACAACTACACTAGCAATCTATAACAATTTAAAACCACTTATTTGCTCCATTTAACTAAAGCATCACTATTTCAAGAAAAAGTGATTGATTGATGTGTAAGAGAGAGAAAGTAATTTTGGAAATTTTTTGAGAAAAATCTCAAGCCAAACAATTTTTTGAATTTTTTTTTCTAAAACTCATCTCTAAAACTCAAACCAAACATACCCGCAGTCTTCTCCTCATTTGGGGGATGCATGGCTATCTGATGGTATCCTCTGTAGGCATCCAGGAAGCTCATCATTCCATGCCCTGAAGTGGCGTCTACCAGCTGGTCAATCTTGGGTAGAGAAAAACTGTCTTTAGGACAAGCCTTGTTCAGGCTGGTAAAGTCCACGCAGACCCTCCATTTACCATTCTTTTTCTTTACCACCACTGTATTTGATAGCCATGTCGGGTAATTTACCTCTCGAATGGCCCTGGCCTCCAAAAGTCTGTCTACTTCCTCTTCCACTACTTCGACGTGCATCAACGTCGGTCTTCTTGCTCGTTGGATTACAGGTTTGGCTGACCTGTCAACGTTCAGTTTATGGCAAGTGACCTCGGGGTCAATGCCAGGCATTTCGTAAGGCGTCCAAGCAAACACCTCAATGTTTGCTCTCAGGAACGCCTCCAACTCTTTTTCCTCTTCTTCGGCTAAGCCCGAGCCGAGAAGAAAGAAGCATTCTTCATCCCCCTTCTGGACGAGGATTTTCTTTAGTGCTTCTTCACTGTTCTCGGCTGGCTCTTTGCTGACATCCTCTAGGACTTCCACGTCCTCGTTTTTGATCTCTGCCTTCTCTGGTTCTCGTGTGCTGCAAGTGGATTTCATTGCTGCCATGGAGTAGTTCTTTGCCTGCAGTTGATCTCCTCTAACCTCCTCTATCCCATGCTCTGTTGGGAACCGCAATAGTTGATGCAGTGTTGAGGGAACAGCCCCATTGCGTGCAACCATGGCCTTCCCAAGATAATGTTGTAAGGGGAGGGTGTGTCGATTACGGTGAACTCTGTTGTTACCTTGTTCGTGCCAGCCTGCACATCTAAGCTTACTGCTCCCAGTGGCCATGTCGGCGTTCCATTGAACCCGACCATTAGGCCATTAAATTGTTCCATGTCGTCTGGGTGAAGGCCCAGCTCCTTGTAACATCTAACGTACATGATGTCGCAAGAGCTGCCTTAGTCAATCAGGATGCGCTTCACTTGGCACTCCCCAACTTGGAGGGATACTACCAAGGCGTCGTTGTGCGAATGTTGTACCATCTCAAGGTTAGCTTCAATAAAAGACACTACTGGTCCTTGGCACGCCTCTGTCCGATGTCTCTTCTCCCCGATTTGGTAGACACGCTGTAGGTGCTTTAGCTTTTGGGTCTCCCCTCGAATTTCATTTTCGTTGACTTTCGAGTGAATTACATTAATTACCCGAGGTCCTACTGCCTGAGGTTGTTGTGCTGGGGGAGGCGAAGCTGTTGGTGCCTGAGGTAGTCTTGCCTATTCTTCCCTTGTCCTGGCCTCATTGACAAGGTCTCTTAGATGGCCTTGCCTCACCAGGTCTTATAAGTGTGTTTTCAGGGCTCTACAACCCTGAGTCATGTGCCCATCTTCATTGTGGTAAGCACAATACTTGCTAAGGTTTCTTCCCACAAACTCTCTTGGTGCCCTCGCTAGTGCTCTGAAATAGGGTTGGCTCCGAATTTTATCCAGGACTTTGTGAATCGGGATTCGGAACACAGTTGTAACTGCCTGTGTAGCCCTCAGTCCTATTTCGTGCTTGCTAGATCCATTGTTACATCGGCCTCGCTTCGGCGAGCCATTTCCTTTTTCTTGCTTTGTCTCATTCGTCCCCGACGTATCTTCCTCAGCTCTGGCATACTTCTCAATTCTAGCCATAAGCTCTTCCATACTCTTTGGCAATGTCTTTGCCAAAGACTTTCGTAGTGGACAGTCATCTTTTAGGCCATTCTTGAAAGATACGACCGCCACCTCTTGATTACACTCGGGTATTCGGTTGAACACCTCATAGTACCTTTTTGCATAGGCCCTAAGGCCTTCATCCTTACTGATTCTCAGAGCCATCAATGCGTTCACCCTTAATGGCTGTAATTTATTTGTCACGAACCTGGTCACAAACATCTCGACCAGGCCTTCCCAGGTCTTCACACTTCTCTTTGGTAGTTTGTGAAACCAATCTGATGCAATCTCCCCGAAGGATGAGGGGAACACTTTGCAGAGCAACGGCTCGTTCCCACTATACAATGCCACTGAGTTCAAGTATAATCTAAAGTGGAAGTTGGGGTCTGACTTACCATCGTATATTTGGAACCTCGGCATACTGAATCTCTTCGGCACCTCAACTTTGTCCAACTCTACTGAGAATGGTGTTTTCGGCTTATCTGGGGAAGTTACCTCGGCATCAGCATTTTGTTGCTTCCTCTTGAGGTAATCCCTCAAGTCCTCCTTTGTCGCCCAGGAGCTCGGCTATCTCCCGACTTTAGTCTTTTCGGCGCACTACTCTCTGCTTCGTTGTGGGCCCTTTTTGACCTTTCTCCATGAGTTGTGTCGAAGCACAGCTCTTGTCTTTGAACATGCCGATGTTCTCTGGGGTCTGCTTCTTTAGTGCGATGTGTCTTTCGTGACTCTTCCCTTCTCGACTCCCCTCGTCCGACCTCCCTTGAAGGCCGGTGAGAGTGTTTTTCACTCCTGGTGTGCTGGGGGCCTATTGGGATTGGTTTCTGCCCCCCCTTCTGGGCATTGGCCACTGGAATCGGCGTGTCCTGCAGTGGGAATGGTGGCTGCATGACATTATCTTACATCATGAAATTGACGACCGATTGCAGGTCCGCTAATTTGTTCACCATCTCTTTTACTTCTTCGTCCCTCCGCAGGCATCTATCCTTCCATACCTAGAGGTCATCCTCGTTGTAGTACCCACTTTGATCTGGTTTTTTCGGTACGTCACCATCCTAACCGACATCTTTTCTGCTGTGATTCTGGTTCTGGGTCTCCTCATTGCAATCGTCTTCCTCCATGTTAGGGTCAACATGTTTACCGTTCCCAGTAGGGGTTTCGTCCCCAACCTTATCCTTCTGCCTGTCACTAGTCATCTATTCTCCTTTCTTTCCCACAGACGGCGCCAAATTGTGTGAGTGAATTTCCGATCACACTGCCAACTTAGTATTCAGCTGGAGAGTACTGGCAGAATAGATGACACCTGGCTGACCTGCAACAGAAAGAGAAGATTCCGGCGGTGGTTTGTTCACCCGGGGGCACTCCGACGATCAAGTCAATATATTTCTCAAAGATAATCAATTGCTAAACTCACTGTTCTGAGTATAAATTGCGTACCTTAGACCCATCGGGGGTGCCTTTCTTTTATAGTTAACTCAATCCTAGTCCCCATAGAAGCCTAGCTTCAATGGACTTTAGCTCACTGCTTATCCTGGACTCTTCAATAGATAGAAATAAACTCCCTAAGAGTGTTATCCTTATCCATGCTGAAGTCCTTCCTCATTCTAGGACTCTTGTGCCTTATCCGCTGATCTCGGATTCTGATATCTTTGGAGATAACCTCGACCTAGCTGAGATCACCTCGGCATCATGACCTGGACACGTGGCACCTTGGCTGACACGTCGATATCACCTTGGCCATGTGTTGGTACTTTGAAAATGTATCCCCACATTTGTAATAAAACTTAATACATAATATACGAAGTCACTAATTTACTAAATACTCGTACGGGCATGAAAACAACATAACTGAAGTTGC